GCATGGCGAGGCTGAGGTGGGAGGAGGGTTTGAGCTCAGGCATTTGAGGCTGCTGTAAGCTATGATTATGCCACTGCACTCCAGCCTGGGCAACATAGTAAGACCCCATCTCTTAAAAAAATGAAGTTGGCCAGACACAGGTGCCTCATGCCTGTAATCCCCTGTAATCCCAGCACTTTGGGAGGCTGAGTCAGAAGGATCACTTGATCTCCTGACCTCGTGATCTGCCCACCTTAGCCTCCCAGAATGCTTGCATTACAGGCGTGAGCCACCACGCCCAGCCAACGCCTGGCTACTTTTTGAATTTTTGGTAGAGACGGGGTTTCACCATGTTGGTCAGGCTTGTCTTGAACTCCTGACCTTGGGTGATCCGCCCGCCTCAGCCTCCCAAAGTGCTGGGATTACAGGTGTGAGCCCCCGCCCGGGCCGGCCTCCCTCCCTTCTTTCATCTGTGTGTGGATTGGATTCCCCAGGAGAAGGCCCCAGACGGGGAGGATTTTCAGGAGTTGGAGACCAGGCCTGAGCAACAAAGCGAGAGCCCATCGCTACAAAAATCAAAAAGTTAAAAATCAGCGGGGTGCAGTGGTACATGCCTGTGATCCCAGCTACTCGGGAGGCTGAGGCAGGAGGATCGCCTGAGCCCAGGAGGTGGAGGTTGCAGTGAGCCATGATCAAGCTACTGCACTGCAGCCTGGGCAACAGATCAATACTCTATCTCATAAATAAAACTATATAAAAAAAGTAAATCCTCCAGTCTGGATCGTTTGACGGGACTTCAGGTTCTTTCTGAAATTGCCCTAAATGTTACTGTTGCACTGACGACCCGAGAGAGAGTGACAGCCTCCCTCAGATTCCCGGTGTGAAGATGTCACAGGGATTGGCTGTTGTCCCCAGGGACGAAACACTGTGTCCCCCCCCAGTGCAGGGAACCATGACAAGCCTTTCTGCTTTCGCAGCATGCAAATGCATCCCTGTACAGATAGTGGGGTTTTTTGTTATCTTTGCACTTTGTATATTGGTTGAAACTGTTATCACTTATATATATATATATACGTATATATAAAATCTATTTATTTATGCAAACGTTGGTTGCTGTATTTGTTCAGTGACTATTCTCGGTGCCCTGCGTAGTGGGTTATTGTCTCTGAAATGCCTCTTCTTTATGTACAAAGATTATTTGCACAAACTGGACTGTGTGCAACGCTTTTCGGGAGGATGATGTCCCCGCTGTATGTATGAGTGGCTTCTGGGAGACGGGTGTCACTTTTTAAACCACTGTATAGAAGGTTTTTGTAGCCTGACTGTCTTACTGTGATCAATTAAATTTCTTAAATGAACCGGTTTGTCTAAACTCAATGCACTTTCTTCTGTTTGCTCATTTCTTTTTTTTTTTTTTTTTTTTTTTTTGAGACGGAGTCTGGCTCGGTCACCCCGGGCTGGAGTGCAATGGCATGATCTTGGCTCACTGCAACCTCCGCCTCCCAGGTTCAAGCAATTCTCCTGCCTCAGCCTCCCTAGTAGCTGGGATGACAGGCGAGTGCCACCATGCCTGGCAATTTTTTTTTTTGAGATGGAGTCTTGCTCTGTCGCCCAGGCTGGAGTGCAGTGGCGCCATCTCAGCTCACTGCAACCTCCACCTCCTGGGTTAATGCCATTCTCCCACCTCAGCCTCCCAAGTAACTGGGGCCACAAGCGCCCGCCACCACGCCTGGCTAATTTTTTGTATTTTTAGTAGAGACGG